ATGATCCTTCCTTGCACAAGATCCACTCATACAAGCACTGGGTCTCTGCCAGTCTGAGAAGTACCCAGCACAACTGGGATGCTCAAAAATAAAATCAATCATACACATGTTGTTGGTGGTTCATTACTTTACCACAGGTAGGAAAAGACTATAGCTACTGTAAGCATATATATCCACCTTGCCGTGAAATAAGACTTACTGCAAACAAGCAGCAGACATCTAAGATTGCCAAGAAGCTTTCTGTCCATTCAAAACACAGTATTTCAGGATGCAAACTAATTATTTTCAAGCTTCAGGAAATCAGCCTTTTTGAAAGAGTAAAAGTCAAGGCGAAAGACCCTGTAAATTATCACAAGTAAAGGGATGAGTGATAAGCAGCAGATGCTCCAACAGTAATTGTCAGAGGTGCTTAAGAAACACACCCTTGACATGCTTCAGAAAGGTCATGTTTCCTGGTAAGACGCAGTATGATAACCCAAGTGCCTGGAGCCAGAGCATAGGTTAGGTATTGCAATATGGGCCTAGGCAACAAGCTTCACCACACCATGCTATCGTTCTCCTCAGCTGTTACCCAGAGGAAAGAGGCACTCAGAATTCACGATCCATTTGAAGATTTACCTTCTCCACAAACCATGAACATAAGAACTGATTAGAGTCAATACCCGTTCATTGGCGATCAAGATGTCAGAGAGAAGCCTAAGACAGAACCAGCTTAGGACTGTCCAAATGGCAGTCTGTGAGCAACCTAATCAAGGCCCATGGACACATTCCTGTAGTATGAAAAATAAATAATAAAATAGAAAAACAGAAAACTCAAAAAATAATTTGTTTATACCACGGCAATTGTATTACCATACTATTTCTCAAAAAAAGAAAAGATGTGGCCCACAAGAAAGATGTGAATAGAAATTTTAGCCTCTGGTTAAAAGGCAGAAGTTGGACAGCCTGGTCCTGGTTAAACTAAATTCAACTCTTCAGAGTTTGAGTCCTTGAGTTGAAAGCTCAAAAAGAACTCTGAGTTAGGGACTCCAGAATCATGAATTTTTACTTAACAAGACATTTTAGAATCAAAACATGCTTTTGGGACAGTGCCTTCTGCGGAGGATTTACAAGTTACAAGTAGAAAATTCTCACCGCTATCTTCAGAATGAAGCCAAGTAGAGAACTAAGAAAACTGGAATTCACATAGCCTATGAGAAACTTTTTTTTAACATACAAAACACTGCGCTGAAGGGTTGGGGCAGCACATGCTACGCAACAGAGAAACCAGGGCTTCCAGCATCCTTCTGGCTTGCATACTTGAGACAGGCAGCCCCTTATGGCTGAACCATTTTATTACTGTTTCCCAAGCTCTAGGGCCAGGACATGCAGGCCTGGAGCAGAAGGAGGTGCTGTGGGTCAGAATTTAAAGGTACTGATCCAGGCAAAAGAATTTTGCCACATTTATCCAAATTACACCTGTCTAATCAAGGTCAATGGGATTCCTCATTGTTGCCATCAGCTGTCTAACTCCACAGAACCAAAAATGCTGCAAGCTTACTATCTAGTAAAAAACAAAAACCACAGAATAGAAGCTTTCAAGATTTTCCATGTAAAGCAAACACACATTGTGGCTAACAACTAAAAGGTGCCTCAACACAAACAGTATCTTAAACAATAAATAAATGTAGGCAATGTTGTTCAATTGTTGTCCTTAGGCTTACACTGAAGGTGATGCAGCAGTTTTGGGGATTTTGAGGAGCGATGCTTTTGTCCCATGGTGAAAAGGCTTTGAAGACTATTGCGTTCGTGAAAAGATTCTATTCTGCTATCCTAAACAAATCTCTTCCAGCTTATTTGGAGCAGCAACCATGGCTCTGTATTTATGTGACGCAAAGCAGGGATGGTGACACTGAGGCCCTAGCAGTGACAGCAGTTGGGTTGTAACCTTGTGCTCAGAGATTTTCTGTTAAAACATCCTTGCTGTGTTGCTGAACCCCTGGTCTAGAATTCTCCTGCCAATGTGCTTATTAAAAGGAAAAAACCACACCACTAAAATTATGGTTATTTGGTTCATGGAGATCTTACTAGCAGAAAGGGATCTACTGACTTTCAAACTAGAATACATGTATTTAACAAACAGGCAATGGAAAAACACAATTTGTTCACCTTACTTACAAGCTTCTCTTTGCCTATTTGATAGTCCTCATTTTTGTCATATGCTCACTGTGTACTTTGTACTGCTTTGGGTGGCCGCCTTTCTCCTCATTCTGCACCTGCAACTGTTTTACAAACAAGAGCCAAAAAAACAAACAAACAGCGCCCTACCTTTCGATTTTTGCTTGTCTGTTTACTGCCATGGCCACCAGACTGGGCTGGCCAACAGCTGGGCCAGCCTTGGATGTACTCTCTGAAGACTCATTTTCACCAGGACTCTCTGGTGTTTCTGGGAGTCGGAACTTGCCAATTTGGTAGCTCTTGCAGAGCTTCAGAAAGTTCATGAAGTGGGCACGAGCACTCTGTACATGCTCCAGGCGCTTGCTGAGATTGATTTGCTTCAGGGTAAGGGCCCCCAACAAGGCAGGCAACAGCAGATACTTCAGATCAGCAGATGCTATCTCCTCCAGCTCTTCATTTTGGCTAAACACAAAAGGGCAGAGTGAGCCACAGTTTCCCCAGATTTCTGTCCTATTTTGGTTCAAGCCTATGACACAGGTAGGAAAAGACATCACCAGTCTCTCTGCCATAGGGGGAAGGACAGAGAGATGGATGATATATACTTCTAAATAGAGGTGCACCAATACATCGGTCCATATCGTATTGGCACCGATAAAAGGAAAATCGACATCTTGCTGCTGCATCGGGGCATACATCAAGGGCGTAGTGAACGACTGTTCACCAGGGTGCCTTGGGGAAAACCAGGAGTAATGGTCACAAACTCCTTAAAGGCTGTTTCAGGCTCAACATTAGGAAAAACTTCTTTACAGGTAGGGTGTCCACACTCTGGAATAAGCTGCCTCCAGAGGTGGTGCAATTACCTACCCTGGAAATCTTCAAGAGGAGACTGGATGATCACCTTGCTGGGGTCACCTGACCCCCCAGGTGTCTTCCTTCCTTGGTGCACAGGGCTGGACCCAATGATCTTCTGAGGTCCCTTCCAGCCCTACAATCTGAATTATTGGCAACAGGCTTTTTTTGGCCAATATGGCTGATAATACTGTCGATAAATGCCACGTACATGCACACAGCCAGCCCAGCATCTTGGAAAGCAATGTTTGGCTGGTAAGTCTGTGACACAGGAATGGGCATTCGGGGGGGTGCAGATCAAGGCCCCCACGGTAAGGGAGGGACTGGGGCTGAGGCAGGCACTGCCCAGCCGAGGCGAGGCACAGGACAGAGCCACAGCTCACCCAGGGGGCGTTGGGTGGGAGGGGAGGGAAGGGAAGGGAAGGGAAGGAGTGGCTCCCGCTGTTGCACACCCCCCAGGGGAAGGAATGCGGGGCATGTGCCCCCTGGATCTGCGCATGGGGCGAGGGAGGGTTGCTGCTGTGGGCTGGAAACAATACCAGGCTCTTCCTGGGGAGGGGAGTGTTGTGAGGCTGGGGCTGCACTTGGAGTGAGTAGCAGTGCTGGGAGGGAGGCTATGGGGTGGGGATCCAGGGTCACATACCCACCCCCAGGAGTCCATGCAGCAGCAGGAGCCAGTCCCCCCTGCCCTTGCACCCCTCAGACAAGCCACTCACGGCTCTGTCCACACCCCACCTCAGCCCCACTCCTTCCCTCACCGCTGGGGCCTCAATATGCCCCCTCCCCTCAACAGACTTACCAGCCAGATGCTGAGCTGCATATCAGCAATCAAATCAGTAACAGCTGACATGGATTGTTAATAATCAGCCATCAGTATTGGACCAAGAAATCCTTATTGGTGCACCAGTACTTCTAAACATGGATAACTTTGGAAGTGGAAACTCAGAGGCCTCATACAAGACCTGAGGATATAGAGGGCAATACCTGAGTGTAGTAGCTTAGATGGTATATTATCATCATGCCTTTTAGCCTTGTTTATAATGTGCAGCAAGACTGACAGCGCGCAATGCACTTCACCAGCTAATCTGGGTCCCTCTACAGCTTACTGCATGCCTTATTATTATACCCCACTTCCAAGAGCTCTAAACCAGACCAGGAATAAGTAGGGGCCACCTTTCAGCGTCTAATCCTGGACCGCTCCACCTGTAGCCTGTGAACCAGATCTGGCCTGCAGAGACCCCCACCACGAGTCTAGAAATTTGGCAGCAGGGGAGCTGTGCCACTACTCCCCTGCTGCCAAATTTCTAGGTGCATGGGGAGCCCCAGGCTCCATGTGCTGGATCAGGCACCCAGCATCCAGGGCTGGGTGGGGGCAGTGCTACGGACCTCAATCCTGGTGCAAGGAGCCAGGAGGAGACTGTGCCAAGCCCCCGGGGCCCCAGGCACAAGAACTGCCACTGACTGGGCCAGACCACAGAGCCCTTGCACACGGTCTCCTGCGTCACACAGGGGCGGGGGCAGGGAGTGGATGCTGAGGGAGAGGGAACAGAGTTGGGGGGGCTTCCACTGTCCCTCTCCCGCTCGCACCCCCAGCACTGCAGTTCTGGGACCGTCTCAGAGCCACGCCCCTCGCTCCGGCACTGCTGCTGCCCCTTTCCGCCAGAAACATGTCTGGGCCGAGATCCCACTGCACCTTGGGGCAGCCAGGGAGAGGCAGGACCTCCCTGTGGTGGTTTTAATCTCACTCCCTACTCGTTTCATCTTGTAACCCCCTCGCTCTTGTCTTGAGAGATGAGTCAATAAAACCCCCCACCCCGCCCTTGTCTTCACCAGTAGTAATCTGCACGCCCTTCACTGAACAGGCCTGGGCTTTGTCAGTCTCCCGTCACAGGGAAACCCCCCGTGCCCTTCTCGCCCCGGGCGGGGCCCAGCTCCAGGAGCAGCCCGTAGAGGCGGCGGCGGCTCGGCCCGGGGAGGGAGGCTCGCCAGGGGCAGCCCGCGGCCCGGCGGTAGAAGGAAGCGGCCGGAGGCCGCGGCGCCCACCTGAAGAGCTCGAGCTGCGCCACCCTGCG